ATCCATCGATAGACATTTGGGTGTTTCCAAAGCAACATATTCTTAATTTAATCCCGCATTTTAAAACTTACAGGTAATTTAAATTCAATTCAACTTACTGTTTACTAAGGGTAACTCACTATGGGAAGTACTGTGGGAAATACAAGGGTAAATCAGATATGGTGCCTGCTCTCAAGGAACTTATGATACATTGGGAAAAGAGAAGAGAAAGAAGTATTTTGCTTTGTCCTAAAACTATTCCTTTAAAATGTTAAAGTTGTCCTTAGTTCTTATGCTCTGGGATTTAATAAGTTCATATTTTTATACTAGGTTTGCATTATCTTATACATCTTAATCATATTCCCCCCTCAGCCTGTGTCTTTCTTTCCAGAATGAAAAGTTCTAATTCTTTTATCATCGCCCACAAAGAATGCTCTCTACCCTCTTGATCAACTTACATGTCCTTCTCTAGACCTTGTCTGGCTCTGTAATTCTTTGAGGTACATCAGATCATTGGGCTCCCATCACTCTGTCTATTCTTCTGTATAAAAGAGCACAATGACTTTAGCTAAAATGTAAAAATATTTGAAGGACCATTTTAAAAATCAAACAATTCTTTTGCTCCATGTCAGCCCAGCATATGCTGAAAAAAATATACATTTTTTGCTCCAATAAAATGAAATGAACTCTGAAATGAATTTAAATACACTGGTAAAAGTCAACCTTGTAATCTATTATAAAAATAACTCGCAAAGCACTTTTACATACCTTATCTCATTTGACCCTCACATGAACCACGCACGGTAGAGAAAACATGTGATCCTTATTTTTCACATGAAAAAAGTGAAAAAGGTAACTAGACCAAGATCAAAGAGCTGGAATTAGAGCCCCAGTCCCTGGCCCTTCATTAAGAGGATGGTGCTTTTGCAACTGCGCAATGCATCCTTCCTTGTATTCACTTGGCACTTATTTTAAACCACCAAACTACCCCTTCTAAGACTTTTAGTGGTAAATAGCACAGTTATGAAATATTCCATGGTTCTATTGAAAGGAAACATGTTCAAGGCTAGTCTATACCCTACTCTTTTCTCACTCTACACACTCTCCATGGATAATCTCAGCCACACCACAGGCATCAATATTACCTTCATGCAAATGATTCCCAAAGTTGTATCTCGAGGCCACACCTCTCTTCTGAGCCCTGCACAGGTATTTAATATATCCCGTAAATCTCAATATTTACAAAACTTAACCTTTTGCCCCATCATAGCCCCTCTCCACTGCCAAAACCCAATTTTGATGTCCCTCTTCTCAAACATCTAGGAGCTAGGAGTCATCTTGACATTTCCCTCTCCTTTCCTCCTCGTCATCTCTATATCTAATTTAACATCAAGTCCTTTCATTTTCATCTCCTGCATAGCTCTCCCTTCTGTCCATTTATCTCCTTCCCCATCACTACCACCTTAGTCCAAGATACAACATCTTTCATTTGGACTTTAATGAACTCCTAGCTGTCCTTTCCTCTCCAATCCCTTCTCCCCACTATAGTTGAAGGGATTCCAAAAGGCCATTTTAGTCATGCTGCCCCTGTTCCCCCTCTGCTTACAGCACTTCAGTGGCACCCCTTGCTTTTAGGGTAAAGTCAAAATTCCCATAACTTGTTTGCACATCCCTGCCTAACCTGGTCCCCACTGCCAGCCTCATCTCACAACAGTTGCCTTCGCTTCTCAAGCTTCAGCCCCACCATTCTTTCAGCTCCCTTTATTCACTGTGCTTTCACTACCCACAGGGTCCGGGAATATTCTTCCCTTTCTTCCATATCTAAATCGCTAGGATTAAATTCCTAGAAGTTTCCATCTTCAGATAGAGGCTCAAAGGTCTTTCCTCAGGGAATGTTTCTTGACCTTCCTGAGTTGAATTCCTCCATTAGACCTTGGATGGCACCAGTTTAGCATGATTTTATATATTTGATTAATGTCTGTCTCCCCCACTAGATTTGTAAACTTTTGCTCACATAGAGGCACATTGATAAATGCTTATGTGAATAAGTTCACTAATAAGGAAATGATTATGTATTATATACTTCCTCACTATGGAATACTAAGCAGCTGCTAAAAAGAGATAACTCTTTATACTAATATGAATGTCTATATTTTTAATTTATAACAGCACATTACAGAACAGTATGCATAGTATTTTTAAAGCTTATATATGTATATCTTTATTTTTAAAAAAATCTCTGTTTATGGGGGGTTGTGGGGGCTGTATTTAAAAAGGTTTGCAAGACTCAAGACTAACAACAAATTGCTTGCAGTACTTTCCCTGGAGAATGGAAATGAAAAAAGAAAGAGGAAAAATAGGATAACAATTTCTACTTATAAATGTCTGGGTTGTTTGACTTTTTCCAGTGACCATATGGTATTGTTGTAATTATTTTAACAGTGCCATTTTTAAAATGATGATGTAGTTCACCAAAGTTCAAGAAAATGACCGTTTTTAAATACAGAGAGAAAGAGGTGAAAAAGTCACTTTTTACATGGTTCCTCAACAAGGATACAGTTCTAGAAACAAGTTAATTTCCAAGTCAGACCTTCAATCTACCAATAAGCTCTGATGAAGAAGCAAAATGGAAGAGAACAAATGGAAATGCCAGAATTTGTTTATTTAATTAGGTCTTCCCCTCACATCACTTTTACAAACAAAAGAGATTTGAAAAGTCATTGCTGGCCTGGCGCGGTGGCTCACACCTGTAATCCTAGCACTTTGGGAGGCTAGGATTGATCACTTGAGGTCAGGAGTTCAAGACCAGCCTGGCCAACGTGGTGAAACCCTGTCTCTACTAAAAATACAAAATTTATCCAGGCGTGGTGGTGTGCACCTGTAGTCCCAGCTACTCAGGAGGCTGAGGCAGGAGAGTCTCTTGAACCCAGGAGGCGGAGGTTGAAGTGAGCTGCAATCACGCCACTGCACTCCAGCCGCGGTGACAGAGTGAGACTCCATCTCAAGAAAAGAAAAAAACAGTCATTGCTCCTTGATTCCTTTATATAAACTTGGAAAAAAAAATAAGAAAACGAAATAACAGAATGAATTTTTCTTAGTTTACTCCAATTGTTTTAAATTAAATACAATTGAATACATGAAGGCACTTCACTATCCTTTGCTTCTCAAATAACAGCCCTTATTATCTTTACCATAACTCAAATAGAAAAGGTCATTTTCTAAATTCACACAGATTACAGAGGAAGGAGCAGGGACAAATATACTGGTGGTGCATAAATAGGATCATTTCACAGCTAATGGCAGAAAACCTCGTTTTGGTTTGGAGAGAAGTATGTGCAGGTGGAGAGACCCACAGTTACTGAAAAAGGGGAGGTGGGCGTGTGGGCATGATTCTTCCAGCAGCAGCCTACGAGGAAGAGCTGGGAAAAGTCTGTGAATATAGAATAAATACTGTCACTTGGAGCTGCATTGATTCTTTTTTCAGACTAACTAATGGCTCAGATGGTAGAATAACCAAACGATGACTAAAATATGACTCAAATGCTTTCAAATCAAATCACTCCAATGAAACAGGAACAGAGGCAAGCAGAGAACAGGTCATTAGGGGTTCTAACCAAAACTTGTTAAATCGGAAAAAACTCATTCTCCTAAATGACTGTCTCTTTCTATTTAAGTCATTTTGATGTTAGTGAACTGTGGACAATAGATCTTTATTATTTGTGACACCTACTGATCAGCTCTCAGCAGCGGAAAAGGCAGCTCCTGGCTGGGCTCATACACTTTTCCCAATCCTGATTTGTCTTCTCTCCCACGATCTATCCAGCGTGTCTTCAGTTATGCCAAAGGGTGTTAGAAAACTCTAAAATAAGGCTCAAACTTTACTTTCTTAATATTTTTGAAAACCAACTTTCATTTAAATATAAAAGTAGTTCATATTAAGATGAAATGGGGTTGGGGGAAGGGAGGTGAGAAGAAGCCTATTATGAAATGGAATCACAGGGCATGAAGCTCCCAGAAGGCTGAAACACACCCGCTGAGATTCGGAAGAGGCGGCAGCAAGTGTGCTGGCCCTCATGGAGGCATCACGTGGCCCACAACACACACGTGGGTGATTTCCCTGACATCTTTCTCCTCCCACTTCCTTCTGCTAATTTCTCCGTTTCAAATTCTTTCCTCAAATGTTAATCCTATTTTATCATTCTATTCTTCAAAAAACATATATTTTTTTCTAAACAAAGCCTCTTACCACATTTATTGGAAGCGGACTTCATCAAGAATAAGTGGAAGTACCCACATCTCCCTGTTGTGTCAGGTGCCTGTTTTTATCCTCGTGCCACCTCCTCCTTTCTGAGAATTATCACTCATGCAGTAGGAGGAATACAGCACAATGCTTAGCACCCAGCAAAAGTACAGGACCTCTCCCAACAAACCAGGACGCCGGCAGAGACTGGAGCTGACTCCAACCTAAGCTAGGCACGCTTCACACACCCCCTGTTCTCCTCCCTGAATGGATTCACTTAGAAAAGAGGATAACATGATTTTTTTAAAACTTCTTTTATTATTGTAAGACATACATGAAATTTATCATTTTTACCATTTTTAAGTGTACACAGTTGAGCAGTACTAAGTACCTTCCCACTGTTGCACAACCATAACCATCACACACCTCCAAAACTTTCCATCTTCCCAAACGGAAACATTGTACCATTAAACAATAACTCTCCGTTCTCCCCTCCCACCTTGCAACCAACATTCTACATGTTGCACATTGAGTATCCTTTATCCAAAATTCTTGAGACCAGAAGTGTTTTAGACTTCAGATTTTTTCAGAGTTTGGAATATTCACATTATGCCAGTTGAGCATCCCAAATCCAAAAATCCAAAATCTGAAATGCTCCGATGAGCATTTTCTTTGAGCATCACGTCAGCATTCAAAAAGTTTCAGATTTTGGAGCGTTTCCCATTTCAGATTTTGGATGTCAACCTGTACTTTCTGTTTCTATGAATTTCACTATTCTAGGTACTTCATATAAGTGGAATCATATAGTATTTGTCCTTTTCTGTCTGGCTTATTTCACATATAATGTCTTCCAGGTTCATCATATTGTAGTACATGTCAGAATTTCATTCCTTTTTAAGGCTGAATAATATTCCATTATGTGTATACCACATTTTGTTTATCCATTCATCCATCGATAGACATTTGGGTGTTTCCAAAGCAACATATTCTTAATTTAATCCCGCATTTTAAAACTTACAGGTAATTTAAATTCAATTCAACTTACTGTTTACTAAGGGTAACTCACTATGGGAAGTACTGTGGGAAATACAAGGGTAAATCAGATATGGTGCCTGCTCTCAAGGAACTTATGATACATTGGGAAAAGAGAAGAGAAAGAAGTAGAAGTAACCAGCATTTGCTAATTGCTTGCCATATGCCAGGTGCTTTACCCAATCACTGCATGTATAGCTCCCAATGACTCTCTAAGTTAGATATTGTAATATCTACTTTATACAGGGAGAAGAATGAAGGCACTGAGACCTTAAGTAACCACCTCCAAAGCTGGGATTTAAACTCATATCTTGGATTCAGAGGTCTGTGTTCACTCCACTACACATGTCGTTCCCTATGATTCAAGGCAGAATGTGACAAATCCTAGGGAAGCTACAGGAAGGTAGAAGAGGAAGAGAAGAGACTGCTCCTTGCCTGAGGGTAAAGGCACATGACAAAGGCAGGTCTTAGAGGTCAGGAAGGCTTATGTTTGACAGAGATGGAGGGTGGAAAAAATTGCACAAGCAGGGCAAAATGAGGGAGGCAGGAAAGTTCAGTACATACTTAAGGCTGGAAAGTGGTGCGGGGAAAAATCACAGTCATAATGAAATGCTAGCTCAAAGGGTCTGAACTCCACCATCAGGCAATGGTGAGCCACTGTAGTTTTCTGAAATGGGCCATAGTCAGAGCTATGCTTCGGGAAGATCACCATGGCAATAATGCATCACAAGGATGGAGGGGGTGAGAGTAGTTTAAAGGTAGGAAAAGCAGTTAGAAGGTCACTGGTGATAGCAGTTCAGGCTTAATTAGTCAGAATGGAGAAGAGGATATGGACATGAGAGATATCTTAGAGATGAGAACGACAGAACTCGGCAATCACTGCATTTCATAATGCATTGAGTAGACTGACCATACACCCTGGTTTGCCTGGGATATGTTTTCCTGATGTAATTACTAATGGCACCCTTTTACTCTCAAAAAGGTTTGGACAATAAACTATATAATCATACTAGTTAGGAGTTGATTCTGTTGTAACAGAATCAGAGGTGACTCCAAGATTTTAAACCTGGATTAGTAAGGAAAGTGGTAACACCTTTGGAAACACAGAAGGGAAATCAGGTTTTGGGGAAAGATGTGGAGTTTTGATCTGGACATGTTAACTTTGCTGCTCAGGCGAGGATTTATTTAACAGCGAGAAGCACCTTGCCCATGGATTTCCCCTGTTTCACATGAAGGAAGGCATCACTGACCTAAAACAAAATGCAAAAGAATGTGGTCAGATTTGCATATATGGATATTTCAACAAACATTTGATGCAGTATCAATTAATAAAATAACTAAAGTATTAAGATGTATCTCCAATGAACCATAAATAACTATGCAACACTAACTAGTTATCACAAATGCAAAGGAAAACAGTAACACTGAAGAATAACCTCAGTATTTCTCTCTGTCTAAATGTATAATTATCAGTGTTGTCAGATAAATGCCAGATGGTAAAAAACCCTAGGCCTGTCCATACGCCACTGTAATAGAGCTTTGTTTTCCAGCTTTTGAAAGAATAGAGCCACTGGCAGAAGAATCCGTATCTTTATGATTAATAATTTTTGTTTTTTATTAAAATTATCCTACTTCCTATGTAACTGAAATTGTAATCTATCTTGAATCTTTTTTAAGGAAGTACAAGGTTACAAAACATATATTTAAAAGCAGCTACAGTAATCAAGGCAGTGTGATATTGGTGAAAGAATAGACAAACAGATCAATGGAATAGAATAGAGAGCCCAAAAATAGACCCATACAAATACAGTTAACTGATCTTTGACAAAAGGGCAAAGCAATTCAGTGGAGACAGAACAGTCTCTCAACCAATGGTGCTGGAAAAACTGGATAGCCACATGCAAAAATATGAATCTAGATACAGACCTTATACTCTTCACAAAAACCACCTTAAAATGGATCATAGACCTTAAATGTAAAATGCAAAACTATAAAACTTCCAGAAGAAAATATAGGGAAAAATCTAGGTCACCTTGGTTTAGCAATGCGTTTTTAGATATAGCACCAAAAAAGCACAATCCATGAAAAAAAAAAATGGGTAAGTAGTCTTCATTAAAGTTAAAAACTTATGCTCTGCAAAAGACACTGTTAAAAGAATAAAAAGACAAGCCATAGTCTGGGAGAAAAATCTCTGCAAATACATATCTGATAAAGGACTTGTATCTAAAATATAAAATATACACAGAATTTTTAAAACTTAACAATAAAAAGCAGGCAAAAGATCTGAACAGACACTTCACCAAAGAAGATCTACAGATGGCAAATAAGCATATCAAAAGATGCGCAACATCATATGTCACTAGGGAATTGCAAATTAAAACAACAATGAGATACCACTACATACCGACCAGAATGGCTAAAATCCAAAACACTAACAGCAAATGCTGGTGAGGATGTGGAACAATAGAAACTCCCATTTGCTGCTAGAGGGAATACAAAATGGTATAGCCACTTTGGAAAACAGTTTAGCAGTTTCTTACACAACTAAACATATCCTTACCATACAATCCAGCAATTTCACTCCTAGGTATTTACCCAAATGATCTGAAAACTTATGTCCATATAAAAACCTGTACATAAATGTTTATAGCACCTTTATTCACAATTGCCAAAACTTGGAAGCAACCAAAATGTCCTTCGATAGGTGAATGGAAAAACAACCAGTGGTACATCTATACAATGAAACATCATTCTGTGATAAGAAGAAATGATCTATCAAGCTAAGAAAAGACGTGGAGGAACCTCAAGTGCATATTTCTAAGTGAAAGGAGCCAGTGTGAAAAGGCTACATGCAGTCTAAATCCAACCATATGACATTCGGGAAAAAACAAAACTGTAGAGACAGTAAAAAGATCAGTGGCTGCCAGGGATTCAGGGACTGGGGGTAAAGATGACTATGTGGAGCCCAGAGGATTTTTTTAGAGCTGTGAAGCAATTAAATCTAGACAAAAAGCAATTAAATCTAGACAAAAGTGATAGTAGCATGACAAATGTGGAAGGAGACTTTTGCAAAGTCTCAAACTAACAACTAGCACTTTGCTGCTCAAAGGGTGGTTCAAGAACCCCAGTCTTCTGCATCATCTGGGAGCTTATAAGAAATGCACAAGCTTGAGTCCCATCCTGTCTTTGTTGAATCATAATCTGAAACTTAACAAGATTCCCAGGTGGTTTGTATACACATCAAAATTTGAGAGTCACAGATTACACAAGGAACGTTTGCAACTTAGTAAGAAAAAGACAGGAAGGCCAGGCATGGTGATTCATACCTGTAACCCCGGCATTTTAGGAGGCCACGTTGGGAGGATCACTTGAGCCCAGGAATTGGAGACCAGCCTGGGCAACACAGGAAGACCCCATCTCTATTAAAAAGGTTTTTTTACTTAGCCAGGCAAGGTGGCACATGCCTATAGTCCCAGCTACTCAGGAGGCTGAGGTGGGAAGTCATTTGAATTTGGGAGGATTGCTTGAGGCCCAGAGGTAGGCTTCAGTGGACCATGATTGTGTCACTGCACTCCAGCCTAGGTGACAGAGCAAGACCTCATCTCAAAAAACAAGAACAAAACCCAAAGACAGGAAGCCAAATAGAAATCTACACAAAGAGCTTAAATTGCAATTCAAAGCACTAGAAACCTGAATGAATACCAAGTATATAAAGAGATACTTAAATGTATTAGAAATCAGGAAAATTCAAATTAAAATAGTAAAATGCCACTTTACACCTTATCAGTTTGGCAAAATTCTGAATGTTGGACATATCAACAGAGTGACAAATAAACAAGAATTCTCATGTACTGCTGATAGAGGCATAAACTGGTCGAGTCATTCTGGAGAGTAACTGGCAGTCAAATTAAGTACACATCCATCCTATGACCCAACAATCTACACCTGGGAAAATAACCCCAAAGTGACCTTTGCACAAGTCCTTAAGGTTGTGCAATAAGGCTGTTTACCGCCATACTGATTATTATGACTTGACTGGGGCACCAAGTCAACCTCAAAGTTTATCAGTACAGAATGAATCTGTAAACTGTGGTGGATGCATACCATGCACCATGATGTAGCAGTGGGAAGCAATGAACTGGATCCAGGAACGGCAACACAGATGGATCTTTAAAAGACAGCACTGAGTGAGTTTCATGTATGAAACAGAACAAGGTCTAGTGCATAACGCCATTTATGTAACTTAAAAAGAAATTAACACACAAATTAACTCTATTTGTTTTACAAGGAAATGTGAATCAAAAGATACATATCCAACTCATCACAGACTGGCTCAGAAGGTAGGAAAAAGTGGGGAGAGGCAGTGGGAAATGAGGGTAAAGGGAATAAGTAAATACAGACATTCATAAATATACAGACATAAAAAACAAAAGATCAGCTTTCCATGGCCCAACAATGAAAATGTACTTTGAAATGAAGATTATGATTAATCAACCCTTTCCATTTGAGATTCTCCAAAAAAAATAAATAAATAAATAAATAAAATAAACTGAAAGAAGTACAGGAACAAATCAATCATGGCAGTCTCTCTACCGCATGAGATTCCTGGTTTCAAAAACATCTGTCTTTCAGAGCCCTGTGCCTTACAGAGACCTTTCCCGTCTAAGCAAATTGAGACTCTCGACGAGGAGGTGGAAGAGGTCTAAGACAGATGTTTGAAACACTCATCCCCCCGTCAGTCATTTCCAGGTGACTCACAGCTGCATCACTCTCCCTGTCAGTTAGAAGTCACTTGTTCCCAGAGATGTGTCATAGCCCAACAATAGAAAATACATGAGAAAATAAATATTATTAAAGCTAGTGATACTTTTCACCTGGCATCCTAAGGGAGTCAAGGATCTTCTGCAAATAAATGTTAACATAAAAAGAAAGCTGTCCCTTCAAATGCTCAAGCTAATTTTAATCATTTTGCATATAAGTCTTTATTAAAATGTATCACATATTTCCGTGACTTCTGTAACAGAGAATACTGGGGGAAAGCATCATCTTCTTGTTCCATGACTTGAGCATTTCAAAATTTTGAACATCCATTATTTTACCTTCTGTTTTTCCGATATTCTGTCACCTCTCCATGTCCAGTTGCCACTTCTGCTGTAACTGTAGCTACTTCTAAAAATAACCCAACTGTGTCCCTTTCTACTTGGTGGTCTCTGTCTGGGCTGGGAAAACAGACTCTCGGTGGTGTTAAGGACTGGAAATTTAATAAAAGTGATAGGGCTCTGAGTGAGAAACTAAAAAGTAAAATGTACGGCTTTAGACCAGAGTCTTTTGATAGCTACTTCAGATGGCGGAGGGACGCTTTCCTCCTGGATTCTACAGGCTGTGTTACAGAGAGGAAGACTGCACAATACTGATGCCTAGTTATAATAGATACACAGGCTGTTCCCAGCACCCTGGTTTTCTGCCTTCAGGTGGATGAAGCCATAATTAAATTTGTCTCTGGAGATATGCAACCTGGAATTTGCAGCAAGATAAAAACATTGCTTTTGTTTTAGGATATGAAGTTTCTGCTGTTGGAATTTTTAACTAGTTCATCAATCAGGAATAACCAAAGTAACATAGAGTTTTCTAAATATATCATATTGATGTGTGCATTCATTAGAAACGGGCTCTCCCCCTATCACAGCACTGTCCTGAGATCTTCCCAATTAAAAAACAAACTCCTCATGGGCAAGACTAAATCTTACTTTTTATTGACTGACATACAGTAAATGTTTGGTGAATAAAATCATGAATGAATGAATATATCTGAGATGAATGGGATTGGGTTTTTTTCTAATAGTTTTTGGAGTACAGGTGGCTTTTGGTTACATGGATAAGTTACTTAGTTGTGATTTCTGAGATTTTAGTGTACCCATCACCCAGCAGTATACATGGTACCCAATATGTAGCCTTTTATCCATCCCCCAAATCTTCCCCCACACTGAGACCCCAAAGTTCATTAATATCACTCTGATGCCTTTGAGTCCTCATAGCTTAGCTCCCACTGATAAGTGAGAACATACGATATTTGATTTTCCATTCCTGAGTTACTTCATTTAGAATAATGACCTCCAGCTTCATCCAGGATGCTGCAAAAGGCATTTTTTTGTTTGTTTGTTTCTTTTTATGGCTGAGTAGAATTCCATGGTGTACATATACCACATTTTCTTTATCCACTCGTTGGGCCTTGGGCACTTAGGTGGGTTCC